AACAGCATTTCCAGTTCACCTTTTTATACAATAGTACTCTGATTTTCCATTTAACAACATACAAGCATCTAGTCCTGGGCTAGGGTACATTTTGATTTGTACGTCGGACAAAGCTACAGTTCGGTCGGACACCAATACACTCTGGTCGGACAACCAATAAACCTCAGTTTCACTTCGGTCGGACAGAATGTCCGGTGGTTTCCTCTCTACGTCGGACAATTTCACGAATGGGTCGGACAATGTCCGTGACCGACCGATATTTTAAGGCCTGGCCATATTGGGGCATTAGCTCAAAATGTTCTTCAAAAAGTCCAATCCCCACATCAGACCTGCCAAGGTTCCCGCATTTTGCGTGAAAGTTACACATTCTGCTTTTGTTCCTGCTGTCCCACACGCATAACTAAAATTATCTTAAAGTTATGCATTTTTACCATTATATGACGCTATCCCACGTTTCGTATAATAATTCATTGACAACGCCAGTGGCGGCGCCTAGTCACATTAAACTGTAAGTAACACTGTCATATAGATCAGTAGTTATTTTACTTATCTTCATTGATAAGCCAACCCTCGAAATTCGCCTCGGCGCTCGGCAATTGCCGACGCAAATGCCGAGGCAAGTTACGATTTTTGATAGTTTGCTGAGCGGCAAAAAAATGCCGAGGCAATTCCACCCGTGTTGTACCTTAAATTAAAACTACAGAGTCTGTTCATTTTTTGCTTAAATTTACAAACTACAGTGCTCGTTTTTTGTATCACTTCTTTGTTCAAATTGCTGTCATCGATGTTGGGTGAATAACAGAAGATTTCATTCATATAGCTCAAAATATTTAAACTTAAGTTTTTCAGCGTCGGCTTCGGCTGAAATAAAGAACAATCTTGATGGTTTAAAGTCGAGAAACTTTGTTTTATCTTTTAGACTGTGGCGTGATTACCGTCAAGTTTATTCTTTCATACTATTTGTTGTTAATTATCACTAACCTTTTAAAAACATTTTGAATTGGGAATTTGTAAAGAACGTCAGAATCCAAGCTCATTTATTTGTTTACAATAATTTCCGTACTTTAATTAAAATTGCCGACATGAATGCCGAAGTAATTGCCGAAGGAATTTAATATATGTGATTTCATTGCGTGCCTCGGCAAAAAAATTGCAGAGGCAAACTCGAAAATTATCGAAAGACTTCGGCAATTATTTGCCGAGGCAAAAATAGTTGAATTTCGAGGGTTGTAAGCAGTACTGAAACATTGAAATCTTGGGAAAGAAAGACTCTAAAAATGCTATTTCCGACAGTCTAGAGAAATTTTCAAAATTTTTTCCTTGGCACCAAACTGTGATGGTGCCTCATGGCAACTCACAATCTGGTAAATTGAAATAATTCAGGCAGTAAATCTAACCTCCACCCAAAGGCAAAGTCGTCGCAACAGCCCTGGTCACGCATCCTTACCTTCCGAACTTGGTAGGTCTGCCACCTATATACCCCCCCCCCCCCTTGATTAACATTGATAGGTGCATCTATACTGAAATACTGAATCCATATATTATGTCAATGAGATTTATAACATAATTAATATTGGATCTAATGCACTAGGACTTGCTGATCTATCATGAATGAAAATAAACAATCGATAGAAACAAAACAATAAAAATAACTTCACCTATGAGGCGCCGTGTGTTGCAAAATTCATACTCTTCTTTAACACACTATTGAAAGTTTACGGCACATATTGGAATAAAAAACCTTGTTTCACAACATTTGAAATACATGCAGTCTATGCTGAAACGTACACATATTGTACTGAAATGCTCAAAGTAAGCACTGAAAATAACTCTTAATACGGGTTCTCAGTAAACTTTATGTGCAAAATCTCAGTATACTTTATGTGCAAATTCTCATTATACTTTATGTGCAAATTCTCAGTATACTTTATGCGCAAAATCTCAGTATACATTATGTGCAAATTCTCAGTAAACTTTATGTGCAAAATCTCAGTATACCTTATGTGCAAAATCTCAGTAATAGTATATTTTACGTGCAAATTCTCAGTATACTTTATGTGCAAATTCTCAGTGTACTTTATGTGCAAATTCTCAGTGCACGTTATGTGCAAATTCTCAGTATACTTTATGTGCAAATTCTCAGTGTACTTTATGTGCAAATTCTCAGTGTACGTTATGCGCAAATTCTCAGTGTACGTTATGTGCAAATTCTCAGTATACTTTATGTGCAAATTCTCAGTGTACTTTATGTGCAAATTCTCAGTGCACGTTAAGCGCAAATTCTCAGTATACTTTATGTGCAAATTCTTAGTGTACGTTATGCGCAAATTCTCAGTGTACGTTATGTGCAAATTCTCAGTATACTTTATGTGCAAATTCTCAGTATACTTTATGTGCAAATTCTCAGTGTACGTTATGCGCAAATTCTCAGTATACTTTATGTGCAAATTCTTAGTGTGCGTTATGCGCAAATTCTCAGTGTACGTTATGCGCAAATTCTCAGTATACTTTATGTGCAAATTCTCAGTATACCTTATGTGCAAATTCTCAGCACATTTTATCCGCAAATTCTCAGTGTACTTTATGGGCATGTACTAAAACCCGAAACAACTGGAACGAAACAATCGGCAACGACCGGAACAAGAATGGAAAAGACCTGAACCACCGAAACCAAAATCGAACACGGAATTCCACCTCCTTGACCTTCCGACTTGTATTTCCCGCGCGATTTTACGAATTTACGTTATCGTAAAGAAGACATGGAAAAGCTAAACGAAACAAGGCTATTTTCTTTTCAAATTTGCATGAAAACAGTACAAGGGGGCATCGCCCCCCTTGCCCTTTAGTAAAGGGGGGCAGGGGGGCGAAAGTGCCCTTAGAGTAAAAATTTTAACCCAAAAAATATGAGGTGCAACGATTAAAAAGTATGAATTACGCGTGAAATCGACGTAATATTGAAATATAGGTGAAATTTCTGGAGAATTATTAAAAAATTAGGTTAACTTTCAAATTTTTTTGCCCTTGTTTTGTTAATTAAGGTTCTGGAAAATACTTTGCCCTTGTTTTGGTGAATTAAGGTTCCGGAAAAATTTTTCGGAAACGAAATATTAATTAGTGATTGCCCTTACGTCAACATTGCCCCCCTCTGCCCTACCCTCGCTCCGGCGTCCCTGGTCGTTCCGGTGGTTTCGTTCCGGTTGTTTCGGGTTTTAGTATATGCCTACTTTATGTGCAAATTCTCAGTGCAACTTCATGTAAATCAAAGAATAAATCGGGCATTGTAGTTCATCGACTGGCCATTACCGTGGACTTATACAGTGTTTCCAGGCCGTCTTTAGAAAATTATTCAGGGGGTGTAAGGTCATTTGAACCGACTGACGAACGAGCTTGTACCGGCTAGATGCGCTACATGGAAGCTTGTAAAATATCCGATGCAATTCAACTAAATTCAGGGACCGCGCGCGAAGCCATTTTTGGATTAAGGGGGCTATAGCGAACGCCAAAGGCGTGAATTTATTATGAGGGTCCGGGTGCATGCTGCCCGGGGAAATTTTGAAATCTGAGACCTCCCAGACCCGCGGAAATGCAACCAAATCTACTAGTTGCTGCCAAAAAGTTTCTTAATAGACGACTAATATATACTTGGCTATGTAAGTTATAAATATATTGTTAACTGACCTGAAAGATTTCAGTATTTTTAGTTTATAAAAGTCACATAGGTATGGAAAATTATTGGGGGCCTTCTCCCTGCTCCGCGGTCCCTGAAATTACGCCCGTTCTATAAAATCGCCATATTTGATAATCGAGTTTTTGGCGGGAATGTATTGTGTTCAGCGGTTCTACCTATCAAACATACCACATATACTTCATTTAAGATCTTTTGTAATTGCTATATGGTTCAGCTATCAATCTGGGCTTGTTTTACTAACGAATTATAATGATTATATCCTGCTGAATAAATTTTGAGTAACCATGATTTTCCTTTCTTGTATAGCAGGTGAAAATGATATTGGTAGTGCTTTTATTCGTCAAAAATATTTTTGTCTGCCGACTAGAATAGCAGTCCTGCCGACTAAAGCTTCAAATAATTTCGGGGGGGGGTGTCACACACCCACACCCCGTAGCTCCAGCCCTGAGTGTTCCCAAAACGGAATCGTCGTCAGGGCTGGCGTACCCGAGCTATCAGTTTGGCTAAGCGAGACAGCCCGGTAAGCGAGACAGCCCGACAGCCCGGTAAGCGAGATTTCGTTGTATGTGTAGTAATTTTTATAGTAAAAATTACCGTGTGTTCACGGGACAAGCGGGATGGCCAGGGCGGTTGCTGAAATCTCGCTTGAAAGAGGGGAGATCCCGCTTACCGGGATAGAAAATTGCCATTAGTAAACACTCACAAGCGGGTTACATACAGGCGGCCTAGCCCGGAATGAAAGTTCAAAGATACCGCCGCAAGCGATTTTTAACTTGCTGACAAAACAATAAATATCAAAATAACAAAATGCAAACGGGATGATGAACGTTTCTCATATAAACACAATTAAAATTCATTCCGCTTACTGGCGGGCCAGCCCGGCTTTCATATAAACAGGAGACTTGGAGCAGGTGTAAGCTGACGGCAACAGGCTACCCGTTTTGGTTACATTCTGTGGTAACAATAAGGGGCCACGCATAGAGGGGCCACGTCCATATTCATGTTGCCACGCACAACGTGGAATCGACGTTATCACCTGTACCCACCCATCCACTTCAGATAACGTCGATCGTTACCCTGTCGTATTTTGACCGCTTATTCTTATAAAATTACTCGTTACCCTTGTGGGTGCTCCAGAAAATTCCAGAATTGCTGTCATTAATTGAGCATCAAAAATATAAAAGTTTTCTGGGGGAGGACTCCAGACCCTCCTATTTTCCTTACATGTCGCTTCGACCTTTGTTTTGAACTCTATTAGTTCAAAATAATATAATACGGCAAAGAATAAATTTTGCACATAAAGTATACTGAGATTTTGCAAATAAAGTATACTGAGATTTTGCACATAAGGTATATACTGAGTTTTGGACATAAAGTATACTGAGATTTTACACATAAAGTATACTGAGATTTTGCACATAAAGTACACTGAGATTTTGCAAATAAGGTACGTATTGCTGAGATTTTGCACATAAAGTATACTGAGATTTTGCACATAAAGTATACTGAGAATTTGCACATAAAGTATAATGAGATTTTGCACATAAGGTATACTGAGATTTTGCACATAAAGTATACTGAGAATTTGCACATAAAGTATACTGAGATTTTGCACATAAGGTATACTGAGATTTGCACATAAGGTATACTGAGATTTTGCACATAAAGTCTACTGAGAATTTGCACATAAAGTATACTGAGATTTTGCACATAACTTATACTGAGAATTTGCACATAAAATATACTGAGATTTTGCACATAAAGTTTACTGAGAATTTGCACATAATGTATACTGAGATTTTGCGCATAAAGTATACCGAGAATTTGAACATAGAGTATAATGAGAATTTGCACATAAAGTATACTGAGATTTTGCACATAAAGTTTACTGAGAACCCGTATTAAGAGTTATTTTCAGTGCATACTTTGAGCATTTCAGTATAATATGTGTCCGTTTCAGCATAGACTGGCTGATCGCATTATTAATCCGTACCCCCCTATTGAGGACATGTGGAATTTCCAATGCCCCCCTGCAAAAGTGAACCAAAAATGAAGGAATTTCCATGGGAGGGTCCAAATTTTAAAGCAAATCTGCGGAAATTCCAAAGGGTAGGTAAGAAAATTGAGTAAAACGTATGGAATTTCCATGGGAGGGTCAACAATGGAAAAGAAATTCCAAAGGATAGGAGAAAAATCAGCAAGGAATTTTCCAAGGGATAGCTACTAATCAAAGAATCAATACGGAATTTCCACTGGCTAGATGAAAAACTGTCAAGGAATTTCCATGGGATAGGTTAAAAGTTCGTAAAAAATTTGCGGAAATTCCATGGGCAGGGCTAAAATTCAATAAAAATCTGCGGAAATTCCACAGGGGAGGCTAAAAATTCGCTTAAAATATGTGGAAATTCCAGGGGAGGGGGTACCAAAAAATGGATGTCCTCAATAGGGGGGTGCGGATTAATAATGCGATCAGCCACTGTATTTATTTCACATGTTGTGAAACAATGTTTTCTATTCTAATATGCGCCGTAAACTTTCAATAGTGTGTTAAAGAAAAGTATGAATTTTGCAACACACGGCGCCTCATATTCACCTGTTTCGATCTTTTATCATGTGGTTCTGACAAGTTTGAAGATGTTGTGTTGTTGTTCGATGATTGTGAAACCTCGCTCTTGCCTCGTCCCTTGCGCTTCTTTGATGCTGGTGTTGCCATCATTACAACGTACGTTTACCACTTAATAGATTAACATCAAATCTAATAATATTTCTATGAATTTAAAAATTTCTAAGTCATTCATAAAAAGCAATTTAATTAAAAAGATCTTGTCTATTAAAAAGTACAACTAAAAGTACGACCACGAACGCAGTGCTTCCACTTTTTTAAAACTGGATTTCCTGTTTTCATCTTTTTCAGCCTCGTACACTGATCTGTACTGAGACTAACCTGAAGTTCAGGCCCTAATTTGAAATAGGGCCTGACACAAAACCTGTCTAGACCGTGGGACGCCCACATGTTATTTTTAGACACAACATGCAATATGATTGACAAGTGTTATAGATTTCGTTACACAAAAAATTTATATTCTCATGATTCATGAACATGTCCGCAGAGTGTGCATTTTGCTTTATAATTAAACTTAAAAATTCAAGGTACTTTTATATAAATAAGATTCAGACAAAGATTTAATCAGTCAGTTCTGTGCACGGCTAGACTGCCAAGCTTTCTCAAGGTCTCAACTTGCTGGACGCGGATATTAGGGATATACTTTATTAAAACGGGCTAACAACAGCAACAATGAAATTCTCAATCGTACCACGAAGAAGGCGATGTAGCTCAGAAAACAACGCCGGTAGGACCTGATATTAAAAATAAGACTTTTGCCGGCGAAGCCAGTTGGCAAAACATCTTGGCTGTCAACAACAAGCTTTCGAATACATGACTAGTTTGGCTGTTCTTTCGGCGTCGTGTGTCCAAAATTCGTCCAAGATTTTGATAAAGCCCTTTCAAAATACTGTTTGTTTGATTTATTTTCTGCCATAAAGCATAAAAGAAAAAGAAATTCGAAGAAATCGATAATGGAATTTGTACGTGCGTTTGACCTTTATATTAATTGTCGCCTTGACCGAGCTATTTTTAAAACTGTTGTTTATGTAAACTTGCAACCAATCAAAATCCTTCATGATGCTGATCAACCAATCAGATTTCCCGTCCACCAGGTGGACGGGAATCCCACACTTTAGATAGGTTTTGTGTCAGGCCCTATTCTGTGATTAGGGCCTGAACTTCAGGTTATAGTACTAGCTGACGACCGTTCAAGTACGACGAAAACGTAAAGCAATCGCATCAACTAGACTCAGAAACACAACAAATGGATTCTATTAACAAGTGAGATAAATTTTTTACATATATTGTTAATATTTTTTGAATTATTTTGTTATTTTAAAATATTATAACGGTTAATATTCAAAATATATAGGACGTTCAGAGACTGGGCCGCCTGTGATTCAATCAGTGGCGTATAAAACCATGACTTTGTTTATCTCTTCGAAGAAGTAACTGAATGTATTTGAGAAACCTTTCAATTTAAATTAACGTTGAAGGATGAGCGAAGGTTAGCAATATTAACTGTACTTCCAACGGGATTTGATAAAAGTTTACATGTAATATACCGATACTTTGTCTTCGTCAGCTATAATAGCCCCTAATAAACCTTTTCCAAAGAAGTACAAGGGAAAACTTCGACGTATGCCTTGCTGATCTTTGCAGAGAGAGTAAAATAAGTCTAGTTCAGGCTGACAATTTATCTAACCGCGTTTGCATCACTTGCGGTTTCAAACGTTGAACAACTTAAGGTTAGCCCAGCGAGACGTTCGTTGAGACACAGGCAGTGAATCAGCTATACTAGTATAAAGCAGTTGATTGTCAAATGCCTCCGAACATTTCTCCCAAATACTTCCCTGTAACCCAAGGCTTTCTGCCTAAACAATCTGGTCTTGAATAAGTCAAGACAATGGGCAAATTATTAAAACAGACTCCGTCGAGGAAAGTCGTTCTTAGAACACCTGGCCAATTTGAATTTACACCTGGAAATTTTGCAATAGTCGTTTGCGTGTTTTTTGACCGAAGTCCGCTCTCTCTTTGAGACTTTATTTTTGGGAGTCTCAACTAGTGACATATATTATTACAACAAGAGCTTTTTACAAAAATGTAGTTATTAAACACGGCAGAATCTATGCCACGGCCACGGGTTTTCAAATTGTCTATTGTCTATTGAGTTAATTGTATTATTGAGCAAATGACAGACTTCACGCAATAATGATTAATGTTGTTTTTTTAGCCTGCTATTGTTCGACACTTTTAATAAATAGTGTTTGTTACTTTGTTCAAAACCTAAATACGTTTCCTTAAATCTTACAGTTATATTTTGGATATAAATATATAAAATACATTAACTAATAGAGAGTAAAATTTTACGTCTCTGTAGTATAGTTACATAATTTAAAACGGCAATGTACGAACAAGACAGCAATATACAAACGGGACTATGTTTTAAATATTAGAACATTTTAGGGAAAAAACGACCATGAATTATTTTAGATTAAAGTTTAGACCTTGGAATCCTAGTGAAAGATACAGGCGTAAAATTGCGCGAGAAACTGTTTGTTGTTGTTAATAACCTCTGGTAATCTAATTAACAAAACTTGCTTTGATTGGCTACTATTTACCGGATATTCAATTATCTCAAAAGGGGCGTATTGAAAAAATATCAATAAAAGTCGCAGGCTCTATATAATAGAGCCTGTGAGCAGGCTACCTCCAGCTTTATTGCGATCTTTGCGGATTCAGGTATAGCCTGGGAGGTCAATTAAAGAGTCGGGATCAAATAGGTCTAATTTAGTTTCATTAATTGCTAGAACATCAAAAATACCATCTTTCATAAAAACTTGTAATTCATCAATGTGCTTTGAAAGACTATTTATATTTAGCGATCCAATTTTAAATCCCCTAATTTTGGAAAGGTCATGAGTTTCATCGTGTAAAATCTAACAAGATGTTGAATTATGATTGGTTGAATTATGACTGGCTGAATTATGATTCGTCAAGTTATATGGTAAATGATCTGCATTGACAACATTATATCAATAGGTGATGTAATTTCTAAAATTACTAGCGAGGGTTTGGATACCTCTTGGATTTAGGTGTAACCCACCTGTGTTTAAATATTGTTCTCGGATATTGTCATTATTTATAAAATCAAAGTTATTTTGTTCACAATAAGTTTTTAATATATTATTTACCTCCAAGATCTTTGAATTTAGTGCTGGGTTGTCACTTCTTCTGATCACGGAGGATATGGCTATATCCACATTTGGCAGCTCTGTTTTGATGCCATTGACAAGCTTATCCAAGTTAGATGTTTATGGCGTTGGATACGTTCGGCATAAACATTCAACTTGGATGGTTATGCCCTTGATTGTCTTCGTCATAATCACTCAACTTGGATGGTTATGCCGTTGACTGTCCTCGGCATAACCATTCAAATTGGATGCTTATGCCGTTGACTTTCTTCTCCATAACGATTTAACTTGGATGTTTGGTGTGTTGAGTATGTTCATCATAAACATTTGGTTAAAATAGGTAGTACTATACCTTTTGTTTTCATCCTGAAAAAATAATTTTGGAGAGAAAAAATAATTAATTTCCAAATATTTCTTGGTGCTAAAATATAAATATAAATCAAAGCTTTACTTGTTCTTAAAGAAGATCCGGACAGGGTTTGCGTTGTTGTTATGGACAAACAGGGTTATCGCGGGAAGGCTCTTTCACTGTTGAATGACAGAAATACGTATTCTATTCTCAAGTCTGATCCTACTGGAAAGACTCAAAGAGATTTAAACGCCAAGTTACTTCTTTTGAAGAAATCCAATATTATCAGCAAGGCTACATATGAAAAGTTATACAGCAGTGATGGACTATCTTCGCGTTTCTATGACTTACCGAAAATCTATAAACCGGAAATTCCATTGAGACCTATTGTGTCCTTTGTGAATTCTCCTACAGATGGAGTTTCAAGTTTTTTGGCGAAAATTTTGTTCCGTGTGGTGGGAAATACCGAAAACACTGTCAAAAATTCCTGTCATTTTGCAGAATTTGTAAGAGGTAAAACTCTTAAAGCAGATCAAGTGTTGGTATCATTTGATGTCGTTTCCTTGTTTACAAATTGTAATGATATACTTCCGGTTTGAGACCCCCCATGGGGCCTCGTGTTGTTGTTGTACTTATCTTGTAAAAATACAAAGCTCGAAGACTATTACATGGTGTCAGGAGTGCGATTTTTACTGAATATCGACCGTATAAGCTACAGTCATGGCTCTTAGCGGTATTGAACTTCCTGTGATGCAATGGGACGGCGAAAATCTCAAGGAAAATTGGCGACGTTTTAAACAACATGTCGAATTAATGTTCTCTGGACTGCTGAGATCAAAAAACGAAGCGGAGAAATGCAGCTACCTACTCATCTGGGTAGGGCAAAAAGGCAGGGATATATACAACACATGGTCGGATATCTCAGAAACAAACAGAGGTAAATTAAAAACATATTATGATCGATTCGAAAAGCATGTCAATCCGAAAGCAAACCCCGTCTTTGCCAGATATAAGTTTCATAACAAAATACAAGGCCCCACCGAGCCAGTAGAGGAATTCACAACAGAGTTACAACTCCTAGCCCAAGATTGTGAGTTCCACGACCAAAATGAAATGGTTAGAGACCGAATTGTGTTTGGGACAAATTCAAACAAAGTGAGGGAAAAACTTATAATGGAAGGGGCAGAACTCACGCTAGAAAAAGCTATACAAATCGCAAGAACCTATGAAAAACCCAAGCCCAACTCAAAAGCATGTCTCCTGAAAACAAGGAAGAAAGCATTCACTTAGTCAGACAGCAAAACCAAGGCAGTCAATCTCAAAGATCGAGACAATCACTTGACCAAAAGTACCCCCAGCAATCACTTGAACAAAAGTACCCGCAGCAAATAAGCCAGTGTGGGAACTGTGGGAGAAAGCACTACAGATCAGAGAAATGTCCAGCAAAAGGGCAAACCTGTTACCTATGCAACAAGCCCAACCATTTTGCACAAGTATGTCTATCAAAAGGGAGGCGGAGCCAAATACACCCTATCGAGAAGGTAGAATGTGACCCCTCAATGACCCAATTTGAAACTCTAACTTTTGAATCAATTACTGTAGCTAATGTTAACCACCAAAATTTGAAGGCAGACGAAGTGTTTGCAGAGGTGGGCATCCACCTAGATCCAAAGCCCAAAGCAACAGTCAAGGCTTCCCTACAAACACACGCAAAGGCAT